TGTTTAAAAATGTTGGAAGCGAAACCAGGATTCATAATTAATTGTGTAAACGTTCTCTGGTTAAAAAAAGATTTATTTATTAACAAGCTTTCGACTGCCAGTCTGCAGTCTTCGACGGGTAGATTTATAATGTGCTAGTGATATAAGATATGATACAGAGTGAATAGTGCTATACAAGAGCGGTTTACAATTACATTTACTGACAAAAGACAATTAGGCCTACTGACAGCTCCGCCTGCGTAAATATATTGTGTAGAATTTAAAGTTTTTTGAGCAAAAAGCGATATTGTTCTGGCAAATGTTTTGAGTTGTTATCAGCGTCTTTCATGCATGCAGTGTGCCAAGACTCTAACGTCGATCTGTGTCGATAGCTTTCCTTGTCAATTATTTTTCCGTTCTTAAAATCAATTCTGTGGTCGTTTGCCCACGCATGATTCGCGATATTAGAGCCACTATTGCATTTTTTCACGTTTCGTTCGTGCTCTTTTTTTCTTGTTATAAAGGCCCTGCCTGTCTCGCCAACGTAACTCCACGAGCAATCTGAACAGTTAATTTGATAGACGACGTTCGTCTGGTTCTCAGGTAGTGGTCGGTCTTTTGTTGAGGGTTTTACTTTCGTAGAATCATGCGTGGGCAAACGACCACAGAATTGATTTTAAGAACGGAAAAATAATTGACAAGGGAAGCTATCGACACAGATCAACGTTAGAGTCTTGGCACACTGCATGCATGAAAGACGCTGATAACAACTCAAAACATTTGCCAGAACAATATCGCTTTTTGCTCAAAAAACTTTAAATTCTACACAATATATTTACGCAGGCGGAACTGTCAGTAATTGTCTTTTGTCAGTAAATGTAATTGTAAACCGCTTTTGTATAGCACTATTCACTCTGTATCATATCTTATATCACTAGCACATTATATATCTACCCGTCGAAGACTGCAGACTGGCAGTCGAAAGCTTGTTAATAAATAAATCTTTTTTAATCAGAGAACGTTTACACAATTAAAGATTATGTTGTTGAAAAAGAAGATAAGGCATACGAGGAAGAAATCGTAGCACGTGTTCACATGCAAGGCAAAAGGTGGGCAAGACAACGTTTTTGAATTATACAATACAATATATGTATAAAGGAACAAGGAGAGTGCTAGACGACTGTACAATCTGTGTAATCTAAGCAACAGTGATTACAAATGCAGCGATGGGACTCCCGCACTTAATAAGGAGAACATGCATGGAATCTGTGCAAGGGTATACAGATGTACAGGTGGTATATAGATGTACATGTGATAAATATTTCTTGCCATCATTTTTCCAGGTCCTAGTTCATTCCAGAAATGCGTGAAGTATAGATTTGTTACCTGGCATTAGCTCTATATGGTAACAAGCTACGAGCTTCTTCGGCTATGAATCCCTCTGACAATTTCCACGAATTTTGCATCTGACTTGGATCTAAAAAAACAAAGAACACCTATACAGTACTCTTCATGGCCTGTTGATTGAAATGTATACTGTTAAATCAAAACAGCATATTCTCGATTTAACGGCGGTTGAAGTGATTCAAATGAACAGTTATTAAAAACTCTGAAAATTTACTTTCAATTTCGTAAAACAAAACTAAATTTCGAAGCTATTGAATTAACATTGTGATAAATGTTAAACAACGAATCTGCATGTCGTTTCTCTGATGGCAATTGAGAAACATTTTTGAATAATATCGTCCAAACTATACAGAAGTATAAAATATTCGAGTACCTGCAATTTTACTGCAGCTATGAACTCCTAAAGGAACGGCAAGAGCTAAGAGACTAAATTCAATCCCTGTTAAGGTTACAGGACACCCTTTTTGGCGTTTTGCGGAAAATCGCTACTGCGCGCTCAATATCAGTCCGATTTTCATCAAATTTTCACCAAAAGTTCTCGTGTGCATGCAAAATATGGTAAAGTTGTAAAATTAACAAGCAATAAAATAATGTAAGAATTATTCAGGAAAATATTAAATCGCGGTACCGTTACGCTTTTGAGTTGTGCTCCTGCTGGTTTTAAGTTATATTTATGAAAATATCATTTTTATACAGTAAAATAGTTGTTCTAAAAAATTGTGTTCGGAAATTTTTGTTTAGTTCGTCATTCCGCTGATATGGCGATTTCTTTGACGACTGCAATATATTTCTGAATTGTTTGAGTGAATTGCTCTTTATTTTTAAAATATCCAAAATTTAAAAAAAGCCGAACACAATTTTGAAGCTGACGTATTTAGCTATGTCCTGTGAAAATTTGAGAAAAATTGGTTAAAACCCGCAGGAGCACAACTCGTTTGAAAATCAGTAATTACCGTAAAATTCTTCGGGAGAAAATTGAATTTGAATATTACATTTTCAATGTTTTTCTTATTGCAACGAAATGTATTTTATTAAATAACTCGCGAGTTTTCAACATTTTCAACATCGTCCAAACTTGGTCAGATAGTAGAACTAG